TGATCGTATCAATGACGAAGTTAAAGAGGAAAGGTGAAAGAGGACAACCCTGTCGGACACCACTTGATGTGGTGAACTCAGGAGAAAGCTTCCCGTAGACCTTTACACGGCCGCGGGAGTTGGCGTACAGCGCCTTAATGAGGTTCAGGAATTTATGGGGGACACCTCTGCTCCACAGACACCGCCACAGTGCTTGGCGGTCCACAGAGTCACAGGCAGCTTCCAAATCAAGAAAAGGTCAGAGTAAACCCTGACAACTCGGAATTTTACTTTCCGCTGTCAGGGCAGTGCTTTGCTGGCCGTCATATGGTGACGAGGCTCAAGTGGTTATAAAAATCGGTAAGACGAGTCAACCTGATTCCCCTGTGATCACTGTTATCCCTACAGACCCTTCTTTTTGAATAGGCATGTCGATTCACCTTGCTGTTTTAGACAGTCTTCTTGTTCCGGTTGGAGGAGAATAGATCATTCGAGCGCTAACTAAGGACTTTACTCTCATCCTCGAACAATGTGAGAGGTTATTCTGACCAGGAGCTCAGTGACGCTCCAGGGAACCTATGCAGTCAAAAACCTCCGAATCAGCATGGAGTCTCAAGTTCACCGTTCAGGGTTCTATTGCAGTTCCAGTACCCAATGGAATCGTGGTAGGTGGCAACGGGAATTATTGTTTCGAGTGATCGATCCAGCGTTCGAGGTGTCGTTCTTGACTAAAAGTGCTCGTGCTACTTTGATCCTTGGTCGTCTGGCTCACTGGCGCTTCCCGGAACTCCATCGCATGGATCTTCTATTTCATTAGACTTGCGTGTCCAGCAGGCTTCACGGCCGGTGCGTACTACAAGCTTCATTTGTTGTCTGAATTAATTGGGCTGAGTTATGTTTGCGACCGGTAGGAACGTTTCTCCGAGATTCACACATTGCCACTTTTCTGCCGGTATGCATTGCTAAAGCGGACCTGGTAGGGCCGAATTTAAAACTGACAGAGAAGCAAATGGAAGGTATCCCGGAAGATGATTCAGATAATTTCGTATAACTTCGAGATTTCGCAAAATATCAGTTGACAGGCGATTTGCCTGCCCTTAACGCTATTCGTCGAAAACGGAAAGAAACCACTCCGAACGAGCGCATTGTCGAAATGCACAAAAGACTTCCAAGCCGAGCCAGTGTCAGTTAGTGAACCGCGTCATCCATCAATGATGATAGTGAAACCATTTGGTTCGCGAAATGGCACGCCGTTAGAGGATACCGTGTTGCCAAATCAATTCTGTCATTTCGTAAGTTGGTCCGCGGTCAGCACGATATAAAATAGTCGTTCGCCACCTACCGTACGTACCTAGTATGATCTAAGTCAACCTCGCTATGGAGTCTCAGATACGCTAACCTTGATGACTTGTACATTCAGATCTGCGGCGGCCACAACGATAACGGAGCTTTTAACCTACTTTGACAAAAGACCCAAGGCTTCATGGTATTCGTCTTTGGTGCCACGGCTATTCCCTTGGTAGGCAAGACAAACGGACAAACAGCAACTGCCAGCTGAAGAGACTGCTTCATGGAAGCCGTCAGACGAACCACAAGAAAGTGGGTATCCCGTTAAGTGAAGGGGCTTCCGTTCAGTGATTAAGAACGACTCCGACTTCTACATATCCTGACTTTGTGGCCTCCGGATGACCAGGTGGTTCAACATGATGCGACTGGATATGTATGAAGTATTGAGCTCCACTACCACACATGAATTTTTCATTCCCGTGTCTCAGCAGGCCCCAATATTAAGCGCGTCCAATGTGATAGAAAGGGATGGTTATACTCCACTCTTCCTGCATGTGCCCCAGGTTTTTCACTGAGTTAAGGTCACACCAGCAGTTGAGGAAACGGTTGGGTGGTACTTGCATTTTAGAAACTTCAAGTAAACCCTCCGTCTAAGATCTAAAAACAAGTTTCAGTGCACAAACAGCCAGAAAACAAGATGCAGACCAGTGAACCCGCAGAGAGGCCAATGACTAGGAGTATACATAAAACACGGGATGTAAGTCGTCAACCTTCTAGTTCATCTGCTACGTCGGTACCGCTCATAAGGCACCTTTACAAAACCACCCTTCACCCGGGCATGGTGTGAGTGGAACGATCCACACGACCGGAACGGCGTTGTCTTCCTATGTTCTCAGATCCTCATCATGAGAACGCACAGAAGAGTACAAATGAAACCATGGAATTTTTACAAACCCCACTCTAGTCGCGTAGAGAAGGCCACAAGGCGACTAATTTTGGCGCATCAAGTCCCGGTAAATCATTTTCACAACAACCAAGTATGCAAAACGTTTTCGGACGAGCTCGATTACAGGCTGTTGTAACCCAATCAGAGAAGTGGCTTCTTATGAGTTTGATCTGCGCCCATGCTGTTTAGAAAGCGAAGAAATTATCGTGCCACAGCAATCTGCCACATATTTGAATAACATTACTGACGAGTCTTGTCGCGAAGGACGCATTAAACACTGCGTAAAATAAGTCGAAACAAAACAAGCAGCTTGGAGAATAACTTGATGCCAGCGCTACGGCCACAAACAGCGAAAAATACGTCCCAGTCCGCCGGAAGTTGAATGCGAATTTCATAGTAACGTATGAAGTTCCTACTATGAAACACCCGCCCCAAACCCCTCAGAGCCTTCAGGTCAGTTTAATGGGTTCAGTATGTTCAATAGATTTGGAAGGATAGGAAATCTACTAGTTCCTATCACGGACTCGGATTGCGTATCCAAGAAGAATGGGGAAGATTGCGGTTAGACTGCTTGTAATGGAGAGCCTTGCCAGCACCTAGGTTTGTGGGGTCGAAAGAAAACCGGCACACGATAGTAGCACTGGTTACTCACAGATTCATGGATTGATATACAGGATAGAGGGCTTCGCTCGAGTTTCCAGGATCAGTCTTGTTCTAGTCGCCCAGTGCCTGTCGCTCGCCTGAAATACATTGGTGAAAAAAGGGTGTAGTACAGCTCTTTATGTTCTCAGCACCAGGTAGTATGCTTGCAAACCCGAGGGTTCGTATAAATAAGTGTCTAATAGTGCTTTGAACTGGGTTCTCAATGAAGCGTGGACAACCATCGAAGGAAGGTCATTCCACACAGCCACTACCTTAAATGAGAGCGAATTTTGCCCAATGGGTGTGTGCGCTCTGAGCTTGAAAATTTACCACGTCCCCGTCATGTGTTTGCTGGTTCAACGGTGAAAAAACTTCTGGTCAAACTTTGTTCACACGGGGCATAAGCAAGAATTAGATCCCCTCGAAGACGACGATACTCAAAGGGAATGGGGTCAAGCGCCGCGAAACACGTTTCGTGGTCCACGGACTTGAGGCCGGCAACCATTTTCGTGGCGGCTCTCTGGAGACGCTCTGGGAAGGCGACGTCTTTCGTGCGTCCTGAGCATACAACTTATCTGGCGTATTCAAGGAACGGTCTGACGAAAGCCAAATAGAGTGTTTGGAAGTCCATGCGGGCAATAGGGGAGAAGGCGCGTCGAACGCTCTTTTGGCCGATTCATCATGGTCCGTGGGAAGGAAAAGTCAGAAGAGACCCAGATACCCCCAGATACGCGCGACAAGGCGCATGCGATGTTCTACTTTATCTGGCTAACTTGACCAATGGGAAATTTAGGAAATTTCTTAGGAAATTTCCATAAATGACAACCGTTTGTTTCACTCTATCCTCCCAGCAAGCAACTCCAGCTGTGGCCGACCAAGCCACCACGCTTATGCTGCGACCAGGCTTCCTCGGTCCTCCCTCAAACCGAACTTATATTTTTGACTTTTGTTTCACTCTATCCTCCCAACCAGCAACTCCAGCTGTGGCCGACCAAGCCACCACGCTTATGCTGCGACCAGGCTTCCTCGGTCCTCCCTCAAACCGAACTTAAGGTTATTTTTGACATTGTGTAGACACGGGCGCCCTGAGTTGGTTCTCCTGGCTCCCGGCTAACCCAATGAACACCGGCTATAGTGATGCAGTGGCGACATATCCCCTGTATACTTCATCTGATGGCACGTCAACAGCCATTTTCTTCATGCGCACGTCCATGACCCTCACACTCAAAGTTCTCCATCCGCAAGTAGAAACAATTTGTTAACGTTGATTCGACCACCATCAACTGGAGTTCTTGGTCATGATGCGGTGAGCCAAACCCAAGCACTCGGACAAATTGAAAATTCGATACACTTTTACTCGCTTTGTCCGGGAATTCAGTGGGCTTTCTCGTGGTGTACATTAGAAATATTCGATTCGAAAAAATCCTTCAAGCTTTGTGTAGTTTCACTCCACATTTTCCGGTCGGAGTACGATTGTTTTCCCGTAGTGCACACACTACACAGACATCCAACCCACATTTTCCATGACTACGTCTACTGATCCGATTATTTAAACCGACACAATTTAAGCACCAGCTAAACGCTTCGCTTCATGTTGGTCTATCTCTCGGCAATAAGCTACGCTTACTATCCTTCCCCGTTGCTTTTGCTCGCCGCCAACGACATCAAATTAGTTTAGTAAGTCCGATAGACGCACGCTCGAGTAGCAAAACAGAAACCCACAACCTGGCAACGGCGGTGATTGCTTCATCCCGCAGATTGGGGGGGGGTGAACATTTGAAAACAAAAAGCAGAACTCTCACTGGCTGTGTGACATATTGTGTAAGGGTATTATTAAGATACAATGCATAATGGGCGTAAGCACGCCTCATGTCTGACAGCATTTGTATCTGGAGAGAGATAAACATGGTTTGGCTGGGGACTGTTTAGTTTACAGTTGGGCAGAGATTGCATTCAACTCGCTGGGGCTGTGTGCTTGGATGACGCGCAGGTACGTGCTATTGTGTGTGTGGGATTGGGGGCTTTGGTATAGATGAACGATTTCTCTAACACTAGTAATAATGTTGCTATTTTGTGGGAAGTATTCCAAGGGGTGATTGACACTTTACTTTGTGGAGTGACAATGTAGGTTAATGACTGTTGATGCATAAGACTGGTTCCATAAAAGTGATACAACTGAGTGGAAGTCACTTACGTAGCATCTAGTATGTCATTTGTGAACGAATTTGGGGTTGTGAACAAGCAGGTTGGTGCTGTGTATGAATGAAGACGTGAGAGAATGCAACGTCACTGAAGAGGATAAACGTGGATAAGGCAGCCCCTTAGTCGGCAGGATTTCAAGGAGATTTTGAAGCTGGCTAGCTGCCCTTCGTAGAGCTAATAGCTGGTGGCTACAGAAGTTTCGGCAGCTTTATATGGGACAGTCACATGTGTCGTTTGTCTTGCCCAAGGCAGGACAACTCATCTGACCGCGGTGCTCCGACAAAGGTAAAAATAGATCAGGGCAAGCGAAAACAGATCGATGGACGGGGAGAGCGACGGATTGGTTAAACCACTTTCATAGATTTCAGAAGACAGCACATATGGAACACATAGGCAAAAGCGCAAAAGCGCGTAAGCAATCAGGCGTATAGGTGTCTCTGATGTCGTAAGGAAGGAGTTAGGGTGGGGTCGCATCGACCCTTGGAGCTTTTGACTGACGAACTAGCTGGCAAACCACGTGACACGTTGCGCGCCACTGATGGGAAGATTTGAAATTACCAGGAACAGCTTGATTGAGGCATAACGTTTTTGAGTCACCTGCACAAGCAGCGCTGAGGAACTAAATGACAGATTAGAGGGAGTTGATCTGATGTAAATAATTAAAGAGAGAAGTTCCTACGACAGATGTATGTGAAAGTATACAGAAAACGACAAATAGAGTTGGAATCATGCTTCGGACCCAAACCCGAGCATTTTGATCACTACGGAAGGCTTATAAGCGTCGGAAGGCCGGACAGCCAGCGCCTAGTAACCACACAAAGTGAGATTCCGCCAAATGCTAAGAGTAGGTCAAAGAAAGTACGGCAAACGACCGATTTGGACTTGGCAGCATTAATGGGCTCGTTGAGCGGGGGTTTCGTGAGCCAGGCAATGGCGGGATGGAACGTGTTGATAGGAGGATATGTGGTTTTTCGGGAGGATGCGAGAAAGAATCACCCAGTGAACCATTTTCCTCCACAAGCCTGTGAGCTATAAGGCCGGGCGGATTTTGCGGTAATTAAGAATGATAATAATAATGTTTATTCCCAATTAGGGGCTTACATACCATCAGACGTGATTATAATGTTACATTCGGAATAAAATCATGACCGGGAGGATTGACATTCTGCTCCTGGTTTGACGTGAAACGCGTGGCAGTTACGACTAGCTGAACGGGTTTCGTCAGGATAATACGAACGAAGGGCAGTGCTCCCTGATGATCTTTAAACCGTACGTCGTCGGATCCCGGGGATTTATTCCGGGTGTAAGGGGAGACTGAACGTTGAGTTCCGTTATCCGGCGCTTAAGTAATGAGGCATGGCACATACACTGTTTTCGTTAGCGTGGCGGAGCCTTGTTTTTAGTTAGCATGTCGAATAAAACAGAATAGAAGAATGGCATGATGTTTGCCCGTAAGTCTACTATATGTTTGGTAGTGCTCCAACGTAAGCAATTTAGCAGAAATTTTTTGCTGTGTACATCTTTACGCCGTAACGAGCTTCGGTTCGCGTGGTGCCGACCTTGAAACATAAAGGAAACTTTGTCACTAATCCATACCACTTGGTTACGACTGGATCCAATTTGAGGGCAAGTTTGTACACTCGTGAAAGCATGTGCGGGATAGCAGCCTCGATATTGGCAGCTTAGCTCAGGTTTAGGGGAAATAGCATCCGTAAATGTAGGTCAGTTCAGCTTGGTAGCTGATTGGGTTGCTCAATGTGGCACCTTATATCCGCCAACGGCCTAGTGGGTATGCTGTAAAACAATTAGCACTTCACTGTGCAGAGTTTGTATTCGGTATATCAAAATCTAGTATCCATCTCCCTTCAAGCATACAACTTGTGGGTGGAGTTCAATTGTAAGAAGAAGCTTTTGATCAGACTATGAAAGGTACTCTCATTATAGAAAACCGAATTCATATGAGACCTCCTCAACTGTCTCATTCCCGAGAAAATCATTAAAACAAAATATCTAAACAGGCGTCAACTTTGTTATAGCTTTTAAAAATAATTCTTAAATTGGACCAGAAATCTCAGTCTCGAGCTGTAGAGATTTAGGCTGCCCCTGTCATATTGCTAGGCTAAGAACGTCTGCTTGACGAATTCTCTAATGCCGTCGACATAATTAGCCAGCCATATATTAGAGGAAGAGGCCCTAACCCAAACCTTTGAAGGCGTCGTGTTAACAAAGACAAGACGCGTCGCTAGTTTGTGCATCGCGCCAGAACTCATCTATTGATTGTATGTACCTTCCCTGGTAAATCATATACCGGCGTTCTACTGTCTGTGTGCCAGCTTGGGCCCCCCAAAACATTAGGCCTCTCAACAGACAAGCATCAAGATAGCTTTCAGTTTGACCAGACTCAAAATATATATCGACTCATCACCATGTACTAGACTGCATCCTACAGCAAACCAGGTCCCAGTGGACGGAGTCGGGGCAGAATCCGTAGGTACCTCAGAAGTTGCAAAAACAGCGCCTCTTACAAGGATTTTACTAGGCCGTCAAGAGTCAACTTACAAGATAAATGTAAAACATCATCTCAGGCTGGTGGAAACCAGCTCCAAGTGTCCCGCACCATACCTTAAACAAGTTAAACCTGAATCGATACCCTCATGACCTGCGCCCAAGAACGGCTGATCGTCAACTCGTCAGTACATAAAAAGAAATCCTAATTCCAAAATTACTCAACGGAGCGCAAAAGATTATAAATTCGGAGCTTGTAAGTGACGATTTCAAACTACACGGTATCCATGACCGTCATTTCCGGAGAAACGACTCCAAAGAATTTGGTGATCTAACTTCAGAAAAATCCTCGTAGAAAAACGCCGCAGCCCACCGCAGTTTTTCCTCCCGAGTGCGTGCTCAAGGACAGAATCCAACTGAGGTTCCGTTGCGTTGCAAAAGTAAATACTATATTAGCCGCAAGCATTCACCTAGCCATGGATCCGGTTGCTTGATGATTGCAATCCCGTAAAATGTAATTACGATCGTTGCTACCTTGGCACCAGGCCTAGCGCTGAACTGTTAGCACGGAGATGCGTTCATAGTGGGGGAAAACGGTTTCACTTTTGAACAAAGTCCTCAATACGATGGCTTTCATTCGACCTCATAAAATTACAGGCAGCTATGTCTACTCAATGAAGCTAACGGAGGTCTTTATCTGGCTGTGAACTTTTGGCAAATAGAGAGCTCAGCGTCTTCAGAGCGGTGAAAAAGTTAGTTACCTAACATCATCTATTGGTTGGGCTGTTTTAATGAAGGGTATTTTCGGTGGTGCCTCCCACTGTGATGAAGTAAGATTTCTGGCGCTGAACCCATCAGTTCGAGATAATAGTTCGTAGCGAATACCACAAAAACTAGAACGATGGAACTCAGTGCTCTCCAGCCAAGTATTTGTATGATAAAGTTTCCGTGGATTAGGTAGCATGGGTATCCATGTGGCTAAGAGTGAGCGGAATGACTGTGAAGAAACGTCGACTTCACCGAGTATGGTGAAGAACGGCGCACAATATCAGTGAATAATAATAATGTTTAACTTCAACTGGTTATTGACATACTGTCCGGCATGATAATAATAGTACAGCCAGACTAGAGAAACAACAAATGTCAGTTGCATGTGCTTAAACTTATCGGGAGTGGTGCAGTTGCATAAAATGGACAATGGTAACACAAAAGGCGTCCTGCCAATAGCGGCACGATGTGAAAGAAACGGACCTCGGGGAGACTAGAAATAGGGCGGTTTTGGAGCAGTAGTGTCAATTTAGGAATAAGAAAAACTGGATTTCGGGATAATGAAAACGGCACTGCT